TAAATGTTACGGAACGGATTTTATGGTACGCGAGTTCAGTTACATGTAAGGCAGCATTTGGGAATCAGTTGTTGAAAGACCAAGAGAAATTCATTGAAATGGTGAAGGAATTGATGGAATTGGCAGGTGGATTTAGTTTGGCTGACATTTTCCCTTCAATCAAGATCCTTCATGTACTAAGTGGAGTGAGGAGTAGAATCTTGAAAGTTCACAAAAATGTTGATGTTATTGTTGAGGATGTTATCAATGAGCACAAGAAGAATATTGCAAGTGGTAAAAAGGGAAATGGTGCATTTGGAGGTGAAGATTTAATTGATGTTCTTCTAAGATTAATGGAGAGTGGGGAACTCAAAATCCCAATCACCAATGACAACATCAAAGCAATTATGGTTGTAAGTATTCTTAAACTTATAGGGAAAATCTCTAAAACTATTTTTGAGTTACTGAATATAAAAAGTATTTAACATTCTTTTGTAAGCAGACATACACATAATTAATCAGGCATTAAAGAAATGCCTTCAACTTTGACAAGTATATTATACATACTGGGAAGGAGCAGAACGACCTCTTGATCTACTTACTGCAGCCCAATTTAGGTTAATTCTTCTTTGATTAATAATGAAATAATGTAGGACTTGTTCTCTGCGGGAACAGAAACTTCATCAACAACAGCAACATGGGCTATGACAGAAATGATGAGGAACCCAAGTGTGTTAAAAAAGGCACAAGCAGAAGTAAGAGAAGCATTCAAAGGGAAAGAAACTTTCGATGAGGATGTTATTGAGGAATTGAAATACCTAAAACAAGTTGTTAAAGAAACCTTCAGACTTCATCCTCCACTCCCTCTCTTAGCCCCCAGAGAATGCAGGGAAGAAACAAACATCAACGGATACACTATCCCATTAAAAACAAGAGTCATGGTTAATGTTTGGTCGATGGGAAGGGACCCAAAGTATTGGGAAGATGCGGAAAGCTTTATACCTGAGAGATTCGAGCAGAGCTCTGTGGATTTCATGGGGAATAACTTTGAGTTTCTTCCTTTCGGTGCCGGAAGGAGAATGTGTCCTGGAATTACATTTGGTTTGATCAATGTTCATCTTCCACTAGCCAAATTGCTCTATCATTTTGATTGGAAATTGCCTGATGGTCAGAAGTCAGAGGATATGGACATGACTGAGGTTTCTGGAATAACTGCAGCAAGAAAGAGTGAGCTTTACTTGATTGCCACTCCTTATTATCCATCTCCATAATGATATTTGATACAAGTTGATATAACAGTGAGGGTTGTTTCTCCTCTTTTCTTTCTTTTTTTTCATTTTTGGTTCTTTGTGTGTTTCTGTCCTTGTGTGCCGTGCCCAAAAAAAAAAAGGCAAAAGGGCATAATGTCTTTGAGCAATCAGCTTGTTTCAAGCTTGTGTGTGTATATATATATTTATCAGTTTATGTCTAGTACTCTAGTTTCAGGAAATGCATGGCTATGTTTGCATGCTACAAGCTCAAGCATTCACAAAATAACAAGAACTGTTCTTTGGTCTGAATGTGTTATATTAGGCTAAGTCATCCCAAAGATACTCTTCGCATAGAATGAATTGTCTGCTTTGGATCAAGCCCATACAGGTTTTCCCAAAAGGCTTCACACCATTAAGAACATCCTGCACGTCATATGTAGCTTCTTTTTCCTTTCAGCTATTGATGTGAGACTTTGTTCGCACATCCTTTAAACGAAAAAATACTCTGATATACACAGATAAACACTCCTAAACAGGATGAAAAGAGCAACAACTATTCCAGTTGGCTATCCATAATTCATGTAAATATTGAACTCTGGTGCCATGATTAACTTCATTATTACACAACACACAAGCACATAACACAAGTATTGATATTTCACTAGGAAATAGAAAAAAAGAAGTCACAAGTATCATTCTCTTTTCAATTTTGCTTAACAAGATTACTACACCATGTCACTGAGAATACACACAATGAAAAGCCGGAACATCACTCCCCCGACTAGAAACCTTTTTTCCAGTGACTCAATTTGAAACTTACTGCCACACCTCAATAAAACTACCTACATCTTGAAACCAAAGAGATAAGTAAATCTAAATATCTAACAAGCAAACACCATAGATAAACTAAAACATACAATGTAGCCAAAATTTTACCGTACCTCAATCATCAAACTGAAGTACACCGTCTTCAATCCCCATATCTTTAACTCTCCACTTTCTGAGAGAAAAGCTTTGTTGCAATCAAATTATCATCAAAGTACCTAGCATAAGGGTGGCCTTGTGGTACTAATCTTCGATACTCCTCAAAACTCTTCTCCGCCTCGTCTTTCTTTCTCAACAAAGTATGTATTATCCCTTGACACAAATAAGGCCTAAAATCCTTTGGCTCCTCCTTCACTAACTCCTGATAAACCTTCAACGCATCCTCGTATTTACTTTCAATTACCCAAATTTGTGCAAGCAACAGCATAAAATCCCTCATTTCACCCTTTTTACTCTCCTTATCACACATCTTGATCCCCTCCTCAACTTTTTTCTTTATTTCTTTCAACTCCTCAACTGAATCTTCTTGCGACGCCACCATCACCAGCCCATGATAAGCCTCTACACGAAAAGGGTCTTTCTTTAATATCTCACTGAACCCAATTTTGGCCAATTCAAGCTCACCATTGTAAACATATAAATGGGATTTCAACAAAGGCCATTCAGTCTCATTTGGCTCTAGCTCAATCAACTTGTCAATAGTGCTAATAGCATCGACTAATTTCCGATTCTTTATCTGAATTTCCATCAAATTCCTCAGAGCATCGACATCATTCGGGTTCGACAGCAAGAAACTCTCGAGGGCCTTCTCATTTTCCTCGTCAGAAGCTGAATCCTTTACGTTTGCCTCTGTAGTGTGCGGAGAAGAAAGCGACACAGCAAATGCGGGCTTCGGGTTAAAATAGAATCGCGTTAAGAAAAGGGAAGTAGCTGTAATGGTGGCAATAATTGTAGGTTTGAGAACTGATAACAGAACTGAAAACGGGTTTTGAGGGTTTATGGATTTAGGGGTTTCTGGGTTTTGAAAGGATAATGAAGAAGAGGCTTTGATGGGCAAGAAAGAGGGGAACAATGGAGTTCTAAAACAGAGAGAAGAAAATGGTTTAGACAAAATTGGACGATGGTGATGAAGTGAATGGTTGATTTTCTTGTCAATTTGGATTGTTTTAGCAGAAAAAGGGTTTATCGTGTTCATGGTGTTATGGGTCTCCTGGGGGGGGGGGGGGGGGGGGGTTTT